GATAGATAGATAGATAGATAGATAGATAGATAGATAGATATGAACAGTCACAGATATACATGAACATTCATAGATGGATAGATAGAAAACACTGAGAGAAATATGAACATAGATAGATAGATAGATAGATAGATAGATAGATAGATAGATAGATAGATAGATAGATAGATATGAACAGTCACAGATATACATGAACATTCATAGATAGATAGAAAACACTGAGAGAAATAGATGGATAGATAGATAGATAGATAGATAGATAGATAGATAGATAGATAGATAGATAGATAGATAGATATGAACAATCACAGATATACATGAACATTCATAGATGGATAGATAGAAAACACTGAGAGAAATATGAACATAGATAGATAGATAGATAGATAGATAGATAGATAGATAGATAGATAGATATGAACAATCACAGATATACATGAACATTCATAGATGGATAGATAGAAAACACTGAGAGAAATATGAACATAGATAGATAGATAGATAGATAGATAGATAGATAGATAGATAGATAGATATGTACAGCATAGCACAGAATTGGTCAGTCTTATTCAAACCCGGGGTTGAATAAGACTGACGTAGTTTTCGTCGGGTGAAATAGATTTATCCTCCCCCTCCCGCCATATGAGGTAATTTTGGATTTTGTTGTGTAATGCTATTTATTGGCTCTGTTATAATAAATACATGGAGCTCTTTTTATGGATCAGTTTTAATATTTTATAATGCTACGATCCACTTGGATTATATACCAACGGATTTACTACCTTACTATATGTATATAGATATGATGGACTTTCCCGTCGAGTTCAACGTATGAGGTTCCGACGACCACGAACCTATTATCTGCATGTCTATGACGGGCATGACTTTTGAGACCGGCTCGAGAATTGCACAAAAGACCACAAACAGTACAGGGGAATGTATTGCATCCAAGCGCAGCAGCAATACATGTTAGATGTCTTATTTTGCTTTCTCGTTTCATGTAGTCGACTGATGGTTATTTCTCAGTGCAGCTATATCAATGTTGTACTTCTTTAGCTCCAATACGACCAGAGCTGTTTTTCTTTCTGGTGCTGAGTTGTACCCTGGAAGAGATCGTACATTCCAAGTGCCAAGATGAAATTGATGTTGTTTCGTAGAGTTTTTCGCAGTAGACGGATATGTGTGGAACTAATTAGATGTTGTTAGAAAACCAACACAATGATTTCTTTCAAGTGGTGAAGGCTTGTGTAGAACTTTCCATACTTTTTGGATCTGTGGACTGAAACGGTGCAATTTTTTTGTTTTGTTTTTATTTATTTTGCATCTATATAGATGTGTGTGTATGTGTGCGTGCGTGTGTGTGTGTGTGTGTGGATAGAAATAGATGTGCTTTGAAAGAAAGATGTAAATTTCAACATATTTGTGTTTATTTACAAAGAGAAATGAGTTAATATGTCAATTGAGACAGGTATGTGTAAGTGGAAAGACGAACGAAGGGAAAGATATAAAAAGCCTTGGGGTCAATTGGTGTGATTTTGTGGTTGTCTCATTTTTCATGGCGCCTCAACAAAGTTAAGATTACTTCCGTACGTGATGTTGACGCCACCCATTTGTTGTCTTGACTAACAGATCACCGAACGGTGAGTTCTCGGCACGTACAACACACAATCAACATTAGAATCTGGAGTAAGCTGAAACACTAATTCTCGCTTGACAACAAAAGTTAAGCAACGGACAGTTTGGTTACGATCAGACTAATCGTTTAAAACATGAGTAAAATAAAAAGGTAGACAGTTTTGTGGCCATGATATTTACTTACTTCACACCTGTACCAGAGGCCGATGTTCGGACCCAGTTGAATTTCTAATGCTGCTTTACGTATAAGCTCTGAGCGCTACAATAGGGAGAATTTGCGGCTAATCCAAAAAACGATCTACATTCTGTTGTTAACTAGGAAACGGAATGGATTGCTAATTTCAGCGCCTCCAAAATGAAGCTACTCCCTTTTAACCGTTTGAGAGGATCTTTTTTTCCTCCTATCAGCATGGCTGATGGTAACCTCCAAGAGAGTGGCGAATTGCGCCTTCTTGGACTAACAGTTTCTGCTGACAGGAAGTGGAAATATTATATAGAATTAACTGCTAGGTCAGCTGCGAGAAAATTGTGTTCTCTGTCGTGCAAAACAATTCTTTTTCTTCTTCTCTCTCTCTCTCTCTCTCTCTCTCTCTCTCTCTCTCTCTCTATATATATATATATATATATATATATATATATATATATATATATATATATATAATAATAATATTCCATGGTCATAACTTTTCTCTTATTTAAACCCCTTCCACTCACCTCTCCTAAAATTCTCTCCGTTAAGGTTTAATCTCCCTCCTCCTCATACTTACTACACTCTCTCTAAATTCTGTTTTTTATTTCCGGAGTTGTTTTTTTCTGTTTTCTTTTGAATTTGTAGGTCTGATGAATTGGATCGTATTTACGATTCCAATGGAATAAATTATGACCATGGAATATTAGTGTTTAAGCCTTTTTATTATATCCTTACTCTGTCCTAGACATTGAGTTCTACCTGGATTCTTCCTCATGGAATTTTTCTGAAAATATACATGTATGGGTATTTATATATTTTGCATATGTATGTATATTTTCCACTAAATATCTATCTATCTATCTATCTATCTATCTATCTATCTATATATATATATATATATATATATATATATATATATATATATATATATTACGATAAACGTGCAATCAATTTACAAATACATGAATTATTCACAAAAACTAATGCAAAGGTTAATGATTTAAATGGCGAGACATCCATCATCGCAAACAATTCAAATAATATACAAAACCTCCGAATCCGTGATGAATGAAATGACCCTTGTTTATATAAATTTCTGCCGTATTAGTTCTTATTTTTACTACAAGCTTTCGTCTGTTCCTACAGACATCTTCAGGTATAGAATAGATGTTGTTCTTGTTTTTTCTCTTAGTAATAAGAGGACAACGAAAATATATGTATTGTTGTATCCGAAATTTATATAAACAAGGGTCATTTCATTCATAACGGATTCGGAGGTTTTTGTATATTATTTGAATTGTTTGCGATGATGGATGTCTCGCCATTTAAATCATTAACCTTTGCATTAGTTTTTGTGTGAATAATTCATGTATTTTATATATATATATATATATATATAGCAGAAGCGACAAATTAAACCTGTTTCTTTCTTTTATTCCGGACTCAAGTGCCTGCACATGGTAATCAAATAAACATTAAAAACTTTGGGGGAAATCTAAAAGCGAAATCGGTTAAAGTAAAACGATTTTTTTCTGAAAACCCACATGTAAGTAAAATAATTTTAATAATTAAATAATGAATTTAATTTAATAATTATCTGTAAAGATACATTTATTATAAATATTATATAAAAAAATATAAAAAGACATTATGTGCTTTTTTAAAACCTCTTCATTATTATCCTGTCTGTCTGTCTACCTGCCCCCCTCTCTCTCTCTCTCTCTCATTCTCTCTCTCTCTCACTCTCTGCACACATACACACTATCTTAAATATTTATGTAGTCTACCATTCGACCTTGCTTTGAATACTGCTGTTACATCTGTTCTGGTACTCCTGCTATATATTTGGGGACTCTTGATAAAATCCAAAGAAGAATCTGCAATGTTATTGGTCCTCACCTAGCATCTCGTCTCCATTCACTTTCCCGTCTACGTAATCTGTGACTTTTCTATAAATGTTTTCATGGTAATTGTTCTGATGAACTTTCTTCTATTGTTCAAAGGATTGTTATTAATTACATAACCCCGCATTAATTTCATCCAGTTAACTTTTTTTTGACACAATTAAGGATTGGTTTAGGGGGGGGGTTATTACTAACACTATTTTGTTTGGTTTCTTGTATATAAATTGTATTCATTGTAAATATTCATTAGGATTTCATTTTTAAATGTTGCTATTTTATCCCCCTCCCAGATAAATTGTACATATGGGAACAAGTTAGTACTACATAGAGACTTGAGGTATTATGGTAGCTGTAGTAAGAATGGTAAGAATGTGTTGTTTTGGTATAAGGAAGACTGTGGTATGTTTGGGTTAGTAATTGTTGCTAGCTAAGTTTAAAATAAAACAGAGTGAAGACCAGCCTCACCCTGTCCCCTGTCATATTTTTGTATTACGCAAAATAAATATTACTTTCCTCTATGGAACCTAGACATTTAAGCGCATTACGAGATTGGTGGAAAGGTTTCATCTTTTTATAGTTGAAATGGCTAAATGTAACCTTAAGCTCTATGCTAACAGCTTCTACTATCGTACTTCTCGCCTTTGGAATTCTCTCCCGGCTTTTTGCTTACAACACAACTTTGATTTTCAAAAATCAAATGCTATGTCAATGGTTATTTATTGTCTTCTTAATGGTTATTTATTCCTTAACAGTTTTTCTCATGTTCAGTAACAAATTAATTCTTGTTCCCCTCAGGTCCAATATTCAGACATTCAGAGCAACATGTAACAGTTCTTTTCTAATGTCCAACTCAGTTAAAAATTCCTTAAAACGTCTTGAAAAGTGGTTCATTTTCTCCACCAAGACATTCATTTTTATTGTCTTTGATTGTCTTAGTGTGAAATTATTAAAAAAAATGTGCCTCCTTCATT